ACTAGAAAAGGTGGGGAACCAAAAAGGGATTCCAAAAAAAGAGGGGGGGGGGGGAAGTATAGGGTGAATTTTGCAATCCCAACCTTAAAGTCAACCACCAGAATGATGGGGATTAGCTCTGTGAAGATGTGTTGCATTTGAAATTAGGTTGGAAAGAAAAAGCCAAAAAAAATTTCTACATCTGTGCGCCTACTGAGGTGCACAGGAGTCCCCAAAATATATCTGCCTGGAAGAGTTACACCTCTTTGCCGCAATCCTGATTCTGAACTTAAAGAAACAGTCTATATCTGGTTTGTATAAGGTGTTGCAACAATTCTTGCAGAAACCTTTAATGGTGAAAACCACATCTGTCTAAAGCCACATGCATCTGCAACACAAGTCTGGTTAATTAGCTTAATTCTAATTCAAATGTATTTACTAGAAAGGATCTTAGTAGTCTTGGTTCCAATCCTGCAACTCTTTAGTATTGCTCTCTTGAGTAGAGGTTGCAAGATTTTCAGTTAACTAAAAATAAACAATAGATTTTGCACTGCATTCTCAGGAGCAGTCCCAGATTCTTTATTATAAACACCTTTTCATAAATATTAATCTTATTATTTGAACATGATGCAAAAAAAATGCCAATGAAAATGAGTTAGGTTATTTTTTTGTAATGGTCATTTTATGAAACTGAATTCTGTTTCTAGTTTTTTCTTATGCCAAATGCTCTCAGACAGTACTAAACCAGCATAAAGCTCTCGTTGTCATTTACTTATTATTTTGTGCTGCTAATGTACAAATAAACATTCATATTATTGTTTATACCAACCGCCAGCAGGAAATCAGACAGTCAGGAACAACCACCAATTGCATACATGGTTTTTTTGCTATATTGTTTTAATTTAAAATATTTCCCATGCTTTCTTCCCCCCTCTGCACTTATTTCCAAAGAATAGTTGGAGCAAACAGAATCTATACAAACGCTCATTAGTAATTGTTACATTATATTATTTGCAATGGACAAATTACTCCAAAGCACATTTTCTTCCTTTTGGCCAGCTTTAGTCTCTTAATGTCATTTAAATCAGAAGGCACAGTCCAGCTGATCCTGGATTTGCTGCTAGCTACTGTCACGAGTAGTAATACTCTACTTAGTGCTCTGGTTAGAGGTCACTAATAATTAACAGCTATCCTCCTCAGAATTAAACAAGGGGAAAATAAAACTTTATCAAGATGGATTAGCCTGGCCACTAGAATTACAACAGTTTAGTATTCAAGAGAGAGGATTGTGGGACACACTATCTCCCTGACTGATAACAGCAGATAGTTAAGATGAAGAAAGTTTGTAAAGAAAAGAAGGGGGGAGGGGGAATTAACTGTCCAATGTTTTGTGACATCTTTTATTGTGAATGTATGTAGTCTGATTCCAGGGGTTTAGGCCCAATTATGTTGCCACTGAAGTCAATGCGAGTGCTACCACTGATTTCCAATGGGAGCAGCATCCAGACCTTCGTGATATTTGATTCTTCTAAACATATTTCTATCCTCAACATATGTTTTGGGCATATATGTATGTGTCTCTTGGATTTGGACAAAGGTGTTAAAATAAGATACTTACCTATCACACAAGAGGATTGTGAAAATGAGTGTTGTAAGGCACTGAGGATGTACAACATTGTATTTTATTTCAGTTTATACATAAACAAAAGCATCTATCCCAGACTCTGGGTACCTTTAATAATTTTACAACCTTAATTACCACAGTGAGTGGTAATAAAATACACTTGATCCATATTTTAGTCATTTTTGCAAAACTGCTGGTGTTTCTAAATGTCAGGAATAAAGTGAAGAAGAAAACATTTACCTCTCCCTCTCCTAGAAAAGCCAGACAGAGATGAGAAACTGAAACCACTGTAGACCTCAGTAAACATATAGCTATATATATTTCTCAACAAATTTCATTTACCAAAAACTTTGCTGATATATACTTATTTGAACTGGTATAACAAAGGAAATGTCGTAAAAATTACTTCCCTGTTTTAAAAGCAAATAGGAAACAAACACAAACCAGCCAACAAATAAAAAGAACAGGAGTACTTGTGGCACCTTAAGAGACTAACAAATTTATTTGAGCATAAGCTTTTGTGGACTACAGCCCACTTCATCGAAAGTCTTATCGACCCAAATAAATTTGTTAGTCTCTAAGGTGCCACAAGTACTCCTGTTCTTTTTATTTGTTGGCTGGTTTGTGTTTGTTTCCTATTTGCTTTTAAAACAGGGAAGTAATTTTTACGACATTTCCTTTGTTATACCAGTTCAAATAAGTATATATCAGCAAAGTTTTTGGTAAATGAAATTTGTTGAGAAATATATATAGCTATATGTTTACTGAGGTCTACAGTGGTTTCAGTTTCTCATC